GTACAAATATAATAAAAATAAATAAGAAACAATTTACCAAACAATGCGATAAAACAAAAATTAACAATCAGTCATTTTCACAATCTTCATTAAAAATTGTCATAAAATAAATTATTGAACATTAAAAAAAAACACCCATACGTTTGAGAAATAGTATCTTGAGTCAGAATTAAAATTTTAATTAATAAAAATAGTTTTCTTTTTATAATACTTTAAAGTTAAGGATAATGCTATTTTTCAACTGTTAAAGGTTATTTTTATTAAATTATTTTAAAAATGAATACTCTTCTATCAGGTATCATAGTTTAAAGGATCTTTAAATAACATTTTTGTCTAAAAAAGCAAATAATTTAATGATAAAATGTTTAGATGATATTTAAGACAAACATAAAAATGCCCTCTTTTTGGAGAATCGTTCATATATCATGTGTGGAAAAGTCGATTGGGTTAGGTTTGGCCCTAACTAGGTTTGCAACGTCGAACCCAATTAATTCCCAAGGTTGGAAAATCCTAATTGTAGCCAGATTGGGTTTTTCCAAATATATTTATATTATAAAAAAAATTTAATAACTGTTTCAATATGCAAGCATCAAATGACCAGACCTCATATATGAGACTTAAAATTAATTATTTTGTATTGGCGATTCAAACAGCTACACTAGCGCTACAGTTGAACTAACGTAAGCGTGACTCGCTCTAAAGCAGTCTCTGTTTTGACAGTTTATTTCAAATTATTTAAGGTATCACATCGGTAAAACCGTTTTCTATAAATTTTCTTGAAAATTTTACCATATGTTCTTATTATCATTCTTGACAAATTTGCAAAATATGAAGAATTTTCGCCGTACGAAACCAGAGATATTAGCAATCAAAGTTGATTATTTTGCATGGGAGACGGGACTAATGTATGGGGGAGAAGTACATTTTCATAAATATCATCAGAAGTTTTCTATAAATTTTTTTCAAAAACTAATGTTGAATTCACGAATAAATTTGGAACTAAAATATACAAAGAAATTTATAATTTACCGTGCCGTTTATTTGTAATTATAAATTAAAAATTCTATTTCATGACGTCATTTGCAATATATAGCACACCCGCCACTTTGATGTGGCAACATCGCAGGATGGTAACATTAGTTAGAGAGAGACAGTAGTCCACAGTAGTCAAAGTGAGACTTATAGCGACGTTGTCAAACCTCCTACTCCTTCCAATCGCTGCTAGTGTGGGGTATTGGGATCGGCTAAACTGCAATACGCCATCTGGTGGGGACCCATTCTCTCCCTCCATTTTCTTTCTTTGTCTCTCTTCAATTAATAGGTTAGAAAGAGTAGAAAAAACAAAATGGAGGGAGAGAATGGGTCAAAGTTACTAGATTGTTACTAGACCACCGTTCTCAATACGTGTACGAGTGTATTTGTAGAAATAGGTACAGTATGGGCTGAGAGTATAGGGAGTTGAGGGCGAAAGTATAGTGCGGGAAGTAGTAATGCGAGCTACAAACTTTTGACTCCGATTAGTGCCGATGTGATACCTTAATTATTCTGATATTTTTATTGCGTTTGTAAAATAATTTTTAAGCGTTAAATAAAAAAAATAATTTAAAACACATGGAGTGCTACAGAGCGAGTCACGCTTAAGTTAGTTCAACTGTGGCGCTAGTGTAGCTGTTTGAATCGCCAATTAAAAAACACGTTTTTTTTATCAATCGGCAGTTACTAAGCACAACGCTTGGCAAGGTTGCTTCTTGAAGGTTGGGGTATACAAGAAGAGCGAAATTTGAAATTTCTCAAGTAATATAAATCGTATCTTTACGCTAAAGACAAACGACAGATCAAACCTTTTTTCATTAGCAATGTGTGTTAAAGACAAAATCGAATTGCAAATTTCACAATGTTCCGATAAGGTTTTCAGATGAATTATTCGTCTTCCTTTACTCTGTCCACTGTTTTTATTTTTAAGGTTAGATTCTTCACTATTTCTAATTCCATAAACACCTAACTTTTTTACCTTTCCAATAATAACTTTTTAATGGTTTCACAGAATTTTTTTCTAATAAATTTTAATTCCTACATGATAATCAAAACATTTGCAGACGACACGAAGCAAAACGGGAGAGAAAGAAATACAATGTTGCCAAGCGTTGCGTTAGTACCAGGCCTCGGATCGACTTAAAGGCACAAAAAAAGTCGTTTTAGTCGATTTATATTCCAAAAAAAGTCGATTTTTATTTTAACAAAAACATTTTACAGATTTTTAAATAATTTTTTTTTTTAAATAATAATACTTTTGAAAGGGTTAAAGTTGAAATTTTGAGAAATAATTGAATTTCAAAAGATTTTGTTAATTATAATTAAATTTTAAAGAACTAAAAATAATTTATCAAATAATTTTAGATAACATTTTTTAAATGTAATTAAATTTTCAAAGATTTACAATTGAGATTTTTGAAATTAATTAAACTTCAAGTGATTTTTAATTAATATTTTTTTTTTTCACTAAAAAATTTATTAGAAACTGCAGACAAAAATACAATGATTTGAAAACCATTTTTAATTGAAAAATGGTTTCAGATAGTTGAATTTTCAAAGAATATTATAAAAATAGTTAAAAATAATTGAATTTCCTTAGAGTTATAATTGAAATAGGTAAATTTCAAAAATTTGTAGAAATAATTAAATTTTAGAAGCTTTTAAATTCAAATTTTTGAAAATAATTGAATTTTAATTGAAATTTTGGATAATAATTTAATTTTAGTAGATTTTTTATTGAAAATTTTGATAATAATTAATTTTGAATTGAAATTTTGGGTAATAATTGAATTTTAGCTGATTTTTAATTGAAATTTTTGAAAATAATTCAATTTTATTTGATTTTGAATTGATTTATGATTTTGAATTAAAAATTTTTGGTAATTTTATTTGATATTTTTTTAAAATTGTAAATAATTGTTAAATTTTATAAAAATTTTAATTGAAAAATAATTTGAAATAATTGAATTTGTGATGAATTTTATTAAAATTATTAAAAATAATTAATTTAGTGAAGAATTTTAGTTAAAAAATTGTTAAATAATTGAAATAAAGAAGATCTGCATTTTATACAAAAAAAAATATATTTTATTTAAAAAACTTTTTTAAAAATGTAAAAAAAGTCGAAATAGTCGCATTTTATTAAAATAAGTCAAAAAAAGTCGTATTTTTGAAAAAAAGTCAGAAATAGTCGAAAAAGTCGTATAATCCGAGGCCTGTAGTACTAATTGGTTCAAATGAAAACTTAAATGGTTGCTGTTTTGACTAACTATGCGAGGCGCATGATTTTTCCCAAAAATTAAAAAGTTCGAAATTTTAATTGATCGAATTACTTTAAGACGATATTTTATTTGGTCGAAATTCTAAAAGAACGACAGTTATGAAAGTCGACATTTTATTTAGTAGATAATTTATTTGATCGAAATTCTAAATGATCGATATTTAAAGTGGTCGACATTTTATTTGGTCGATATTTTGTTTATTCGAAATTCAAAATGATCAATATATAAAGTGGTCAACAATTTATTTAGTCGATATTTTATTTGGTCGAAATTTTAAATGGTCGGTATTTAAAATGGTCGACATTTTATTTAGTCGATATTTTATTTGATTGAAAATTTAAATGCTCGATATTTAAAGTGGTCGATATTTTATTTGTTCGATATTCTAAATGATAGAAATTTAGAAGCATCGAATTTTATATCCATCGAAATTTAATTTGGTCGATATTTTAAAAGCTCGACATTTTTTTAGCTATACGAGTTTCCTCTCTATGTTGTTATTATTATTTACATCAATAATTTCAAATTTCCCGCAAAATTTCAATGTACTTTACCGACAAACAACATAGAAAGGAAACTCGTATAGCTAAAAAAGTGTCGAGCTTTTAAAATATCGACCAAATTAAATTTCGATGGATATAAAATTCGATGTGTCTAAATTTTTATCATTTAGAATATCGAACAAATAAAATATCGACCACTTTAAATGTCGTTCATTTAGAATATTTACCAAACAAAATATCTAACTAATACAATTTCGACCACTTTAAATGTCGATCATTTAGAATTTCGAATAAATAAAATATCGACCAAATAAAATGTTGACCATTTTAAATATCGATCATTTAGAATTTCGTTCAAATAAAATATCGACTTAATGTAATTCGATCAATTAAATTTTCGACCTTTTTAATTTTTGGGAAAAATCATGCGCCTCATAATATTCTGTGTTCATGTACTCTTTGGTTAAATACTATTTTAATCTATATTAAAAAAATTTTAAAAACCCTTTGTTAATTCTTTTGTTCTTATTTTCAAATAAGGCAAATAAATTACTGACTAATGACTATTTGTGTGCTATCTTGACATTGATATTACGATGAAGTCTTAATCACCGATCGGAAATGAAGAAGTGGAGTTGTATTCTTGCATTTAACATTTAATGAGGTCATAAAAAAATGTGTGAAAAAAATTTTAAATTTCTATTTTTTTAATTTTCTCATTAATATATTATATTTTATCTATACTACTGTTAATTTATATAAAAATAAAAATTTACGCAATTTAAATGATCCGTTTAAAACATTATTCTCTATCTATAGTATATATTATACACAGCATATAGAACAGAGGCAAATTCGTCATATATATATATATATATATATATATACGTACATGATCGTTTATATAGATTAGCTTGTGATACCTCTAACACACATGTATCGAAAATGTGCTCACACATTTAAATGGTCGCGCGTGCGTCTCACTGCTGTCTTGACACACGTATGTCTGCATTGAACTTCCCGAGCTACTCGACATCTTTATAATATACAATATTATTTGTCTCGCGAATGAATTTCATTTAAAGCTTGTGTCATGCAATCCCCACCAACGTGTATGTTTTAATATAACAAAAAAAGTGTACATGTAAATGATGATAAATTATTTATTGTACAAATAACTCACCCAAAATTTATTATTTGGAAAAATAAAACTGATGACCAAGGACCTTCCTCGCGGAGCGTGTTGCCCGGCCCTACCCCTCAGATCGCCATCTTCGAAGTTCGAAACACGTTTAAGCTGTAAGCTCAAAGGGTCGAACTCAGTAGTACCGTGCTTGCGAACAGTTTTCTACATTACCGATCGATGGCGTACTTCGACGATTCCACGTGTGGAATTTATAGTAGGCATTTTAAATTCGATTATTTTTTTTCCTTTTTAACAGATACAGCAGAAAGGTATAAGGATTTTTTTTTTTGGTATGAATTTCCAAATTTTCGAGTTAATGAATTTTCAAAATGTTGGGTATTTAAATATAAACCTATTTTCAATGGCATATAACTTTAAAAGTATTGAATTTAGCAATTTTTACCAAGAGAATAAAATTATATAATAATAAAATGCTTGGTCTGTCCTTCTGTCCTAACTTGAAGTTGGCCTTTTCTGATTTCACGTGTTTTTTTGAATAGTAATCTTATGACGTGTCAAATTTTGACAATTCTTTTTCTCATTTTTGCCAAAGTTGTATAATTGTGTTTCCAAATTTCGGAATAAGTTTCTTTAAAATTCCAAATTCGAAAATTCAATTCACGAAGCTGAAGTACCCAACGTTTACCGACGAAATTTTTTTAAAGTTGTATATTGATTCAAAAATTGTATACAAATACAAAAAATTTATGATGAGAAAAAAGATGCGCCAGGAAATTTCGTACAAGATAGTAATTTGAAAAAAATTAATTTTTAAGGTACCAGGGGCCAACGAATACCTATTAAATATTAATTATAAAAAAACAGGCCTCGAATCAACTTAAAGACACAAAAAAGTCGTTTTAGTCGATTTATATTCCAAAAAAAGTGGATTTGTTTTTTATTTTAACAAAAATATTTTACAGATTTTTAAATAAAAAATTTTTTTTTAATAATAATCCTTTTCAAAGGGTTAAAGTTGAAATTTTTAGAAATAATTAAATTTCAAATGATTTTCTTAATTTTCAAACAATTATTAAATTTTTCAGGACTAAAAATAATTAATCAAACAATTTTTTGAAAACATTTTTTAAATTTAATTGAATTTTCAAAGGTTTAAAATTGAGATTTTTGAAATCAATTGAAACTTTAAGTGATTTTTAATTAAAATTTTAGATGATTTCACTAAAAATTTATTAGAAAATGCGGACAAAATACAATAATTTGAAAATCATTTTTAATTGAAAAATGGTTTCAGATAGTTGAAATTTCAAAGAATATTATTAAAATAGTTAAAAATAATTGAATTTCCTTAGAGTTATAATTGAAATTATTAAATTTCAAAAAAATAATTTTCGATGGAAAATTTTAGAAATAATTAAATTTTAGATGCTTTTAAATTTAAATTGTTGAAAATTCAATTAATTTTGAATTCAAATTTTTGAGAATAATTAAATTTTATTTGATTTTAAATTTGGAAAATAATTGAATTTCAGTTCATTTTGAATTGCAAATTTTGGGAAATAATTGAATTTTAATTGAAATTTTGGATAATAATTTAATTTAAGTTCATTTTTGATTGAAAATTTGGATAATTAATTTTGAATAGAAATTTTAGAAAATAATTGAATTTTATTTCATTTCAAATTGAAAACTTGGTAAATAATTAAATTTTAAATTGAAAATTTTGGATAATTATTGGATTTTGAATTGATTTTGAATTAAAATTTCGGGTAATACCTAATTGAATTTTAGTTTATTTTGAATTGAAATTTTCAAAAAATAATTCAATTTTATTGTGATATTTTTTTAAAATTATAAACAATTGTTAAATTTCATAAAAATTTTAATTGAAAAATAATTTTGATGTAATTGAATTTGTGATGTATAAAATTATTAAAAATAATTAATTTAGTGAAGAATCATTTTAGTTCAAAATTTGTTAAATAATTGAATTGAAGAAGATCTGAAGAAGATCTACATTTTATACTAAAAAAATGTATTTTATGTACATTTTTTTTTAAATGTACAAAAAAATTAATAGTAAAAAAGTAGCCATGCCGAAAAAAAGTAAAAAAAGTGTGTCACTTCGAAGCCTGCAAATAAAATAAAATTTTGCAAAAATAAATTTTTATTTGAACTAAATAAAATTTTATTTAGCTCTGAGATAAATATTTAAACCACTGCACCGAAAAAAAATTATAAAGTAATTATTACTTTAGTTACAAAAAGTAAAACCTAAAGTGTCATGGAACTTCAGCGTATCTCTTGTCAATTTTTGCTCTGGAAATAGTATTTTTTACTATACTTCCGGAGTAAAAGGTGCCAGAAATGCACAGACATTCGGGACATTTTACGATTTACTTTGGAGATAGTAAAAGTTACTTAATTTTTGATTTCCATTTATGGAAAAAAATTTATTTGATTCAAATAACCGATTACTTGACTATTATCAAATAAATATTTATTCATATTAAATAATTTATTATCTGGAGTCAATTAAATTGTATTTATTACAAATACACAAATTATTTGTTCAAATACAGTTTATTTAATTCAAATAAAAATTATTTGTTTTCAGTACAAGTATATTTATTTGATAATAATCAAGTAATCGATTATATTTGAATCAAATAAATTTTTTTTAGTGTATAGGGTAAATGTGGGTATTACCGCGATTGAATGAATTACTGCGATTTCGCTTTTTTTCTATAAAATTTCACAATTACGTTCTGATTCATTCACTGAAAAAATTTACACGGTTAATTTAATATTATAAGTATCAAATAAAAATAATATATTAGTTATTTAATGTATCGTTAAGTTTTTATAAATTGTTAAATCTCGTTAAGAGCAACAAATTTGGTAAAATGCTTATCGCATTGTGACCAAAAGGTTGTCCAAAAAAACGTCTTTTATATTGATATTTATGCTCCAAATTTTGTTATTCTTTTTTTATTCGATAAAGTAACGTTTTTTTTATTAAAACACGTTAGCTAATAAAGATCCGACTTTTTTTTCCTTTTTATATTTATAATACGGTAATATGCACACGTTTTTAAAAGGCGCGTCAAATGCCAAAGAAAGCAGTAAATTCTAGATCAAAAAAAGATATTTATACAGAAATCATTGTGGCATTTGGGTCATGAAGGTTTTGGCATCGCGGTAATGTATGCACTTGCATTAATTTTTAAAATGCCGTTTATTTAATAAAATATACCTTAAATGACATTATTAATTTTCAATTAACACAAAGTATACTCAATGATCAATTTACAAAAAAAAATTACACAAATATCTTGTAAAACATGTTTTTATTTTTCTTATCAAACTCTGGTATTCATCAAAATCGCGGTAATACCCACATTTACCCTAGTGATTGACTTTTTGTTAAATTTTCAGTAAATTTTACATAAACAATTAATGGAATTTTTTTTAAATTAATTAATTTGTAAAATTTATCTAATAATTCATAGCAAAAAGTTAGTCACTACCTGTAGTTCAAATTATAGTCAAAAATTTTGCTAAAATTTTAATTTAGAACTTTACAAAAAAACCAATATCAAAATGGTTCTCACAGTAATTCATTTAACGAAATACATATACTCTGGGGTTAAATATGAATATGTATGAAATAGCAAAATCCATTAGCAAATTGAATATTGCAAATAAATACGAAAATACATGTGTAACATCAAATGTAGGAACATGAACGTGCATATTGTATATATGCGTATAACCGTATGATATTGGGTGTCAATATTTATTAAAGTGGGAATCCTCATAAAAAGTTTGAAAATATATCAAAATTTAATTTTTTTCTTGCTTATTTTATTATAAAATTTACATAGTAAAAAGAATAATCTGAAGTATTAAAATTTATTAATAAATCTTTTTTTTTTGTTAGAATGTATAGACACTAATTTAAAAATATTAAATTGATACCAAAAATATCAAATTGATATAAAAATTTGTATCAATTTGATACTTTTAATAGGTAAGTCTAGGTACTAAAAATATAATGCAACTAGTCCCAAATATTAAAAAAAAATTTTGCATTTTTTAAAATAAATAAACAAAAAAGAATTTTTTATTTCGACAAAATTTTTTTAATGAAAATATAAGTAATTCTAAGGCATTAATCACTTTTGGTATTTTTTTACTTAAAATAAAAAATTAAAAACTTTTAAATTTTTCAAAATTAACGAAAAATTCGACCTAAATCCTCGAAGATGATCTTCAGGTATACCCGTCATCGGCGACATGGTTGTCCAAGTGTTAAGGATATTTTCTCAAATCTCAAATATGAATGCCAAAACCATTAACAAAAAATTCGAGCTAAATTCTCGGCGATGATCCTTAAGTATACCCATCATCAGCAATCTGGTTCTATAGGTAAAAAATAACCATGGATTATTGTGTGGTTGTCAGTTCTAAAGCGCGTGTATAAAAAATTTTAGACCTCTAGGACATCAGCAAGTTGTTTAAATTAAATTTTAAAATTTCATATTTTGACTTTTGCAAAAATAAATTGTTTATAACAATAACATTGAAGTTCAACAAATATTATTTAACCATAAAAATCGTGTTCAGCATAAAAAAATACATAAGAAACACTTATCTAGGTTCTTTGAAATATAAAATGTTCCAAGAAATCTATTTTAATTAATTGGGTTAGTCCACTGACTTTTGTCTAATAGTGGTTGCAACCAAATTTTTAAAAAATCTAGTTTTAATATATGTGAAACTCGATGATTCCCTGAGTTCATTAACCATAATATTATGGTAAAAATTTTATTCCCTTTAAAAATATTAAATATTAAAAGTAGGAGGTTCACAATGTGATTTTGTAACCTTAAATCTTTCAATTTTTTTAAAAACGCTATTATTAAAAAACTATTAAAAATTAGATGTTGGAACTCACCAAAAACATAAATCACTTTATTCTGCACAGAGGAACGAAAGAATTATTGCAATAATTTATTATTTTTGGATGATATACGATTTTAAAAAAAATTTTATTTAAATATTCTCAAGATTTTTATTTACTTATAACTTTTTTGTCGGTGCTCCGAAAAAATTGAGGTTTTGCACAAAGATTTTTTATAATATTCTTTACCTTCCTTTAAAATCTCACGAAGATGTTTTGCTTCGTTTTGGAGAAATTAATTTTCAAAATTTTTTATTTAAAAAGGTTAATTAAAAGACTTGAAGTTAACTAACCAAATTCAAACTGCTCCATTTTTTATAAAAATATATTAAAATGTAGCGATTTGAAATTGGTCAGTTAACTTCAAGTCTTTTAATTAACCTTTTTAAATAAAAAATTTTGAAAATTAATATCTCCAAAACGAAGCAAAACATCTTCGTGAGATTTTAAAGGAAGGTAAAGAATATTATAAAAAATCTTTGTGCAAAACCTTAATTTTTTCGCAGCACTGACAAAAAAGTTATAAGTAAATAAAAATCTTGAGAATATTTAAATAAAAATTTTTTTAAAATCGTATATCATCCAAAAATAATAAATTTTTGCAATAATTCTTTCGTTCCTCTGTGCAGAATAAAGTGATTTATGTTTTTGGTGAGTTCCAACATCTATTTTTTAATAGTTTTTTAATAATAGCGTTTTTAAAAAAATTGAAAAATTTAAGGTTACAAAATCACATTGTGATTCTCCTACTTTTGATATTTAATATTTTTAAAGGGAATAAATTTTTTACCATAATATTATGGTTAATGAACTCAGGGAATCATTGAGTTTCACATATATTAAAACTAGATTTTTTAAAAATTTGGTCGCAACCATTATTAGACGAAAGTCAGTGGACTGACCCTATTATAGTAAAACTTTAAATGCGTTTTTCTCGAAAAGTTGATTTTGGTCGATAGCACCGTTTTTTCAGACCCGGTCACATATTAAGTTTAAATAAAAAATAATTCTTTGGTTGAATATTTTTACTTGCACGGAGAGAAAAATTAGGTTGTGTGGACTGGAGACTTAAGTTAAAACTACTTGAGTGACTCAAGTAACGATGCCTACAGTTAACGCAAAATTGGTCGCACGGTAGTTTTGACTGTGCGGTCCCAAATAGTATTAATGTGCCATTAAAAAGTGATATTTCCATTCATTTAAACAGTTGAGGTTATTCGTGTAACAAGTAATATCAATATGTTAATATCAATAGCGAATTCAAGAAAAAAATTATGCCAATTTATTTATTTGTAAAATATTTAAATAAAAATTTTGCACTTCGAAACTTACAAATTTGTCATTTATCGTATTCGAAGTGTGTTATGGTTTGCTGACAAAATAATTAAATACTTATTAATGAATGCGTTCACAAAAGTAATGTAAAAAACACTGTAAAAAGAAAGGTACTAATTTAGTACCAATTTTTGTACTAAATCGTAATTTGGTTCGATTTTAATACCGAAATCAGCTCTAATTTAGAACTTTTTTTTACAGTGAATAATTAATGTACGCTTTAAATGTTGAAATACGACTACGAATGTCCTAACTTTTTATTATAATTATGTATAACGAGAAAAGTGTCTAAAACTGAAAATCCAACACACAACATAACTTGAAAAAGTGTTTCTTTTTATTTTTACATAATTTTTCAGTTAATTTGAAAAACCTTTGGATTCAGAATTGCTTAAAAACTATATTGTGGACCTTATTATTTCCTTTAAATCATCAAAAAAATGTTAATATTTGAAATTTTTTTAAAAATCAAACCTAACCTAGAAAAAATTAATAAATATAATATTCTATTAATATGCGTGTGTGAATAGCGCCACGTACGCTGCCAAGCAAAGCTGATTGGTCAAACCGTCTGTCGGTATTATTTGAGAACATTATAGCCCTAACTTGATAGCCAAGTCAAATCTACCGTGCTCTCCAGTTACAAATGCCTTGTTTAATAAAATTGGACCAACGACTTGAAACAAAGCAGTTATCACCTAATTTTTCTCTCCGTGTGAAAGTAAAACGATTTCCGAACGATACACAAAAAATAATTTTTTAGGTTAAAAATCATGTCCTAAAGGCCTGAACAGAATAGAAACGTAATCGCAATCGCAATCGTAAACGGAAGAATGTGTTAGAGAAGGATAGTCATATAATGTTGTTCTTCTCTTACTAATTCTTCCGTTTGCGATTACGTTTCCGGTTACGTTTCTATTGTGCTTAGGCCTTAATCTTATTCACAATATAAAATAGTCAGTGGAATATCCGAATTGTGACACTTTGCAGGAAAAGGTAGCTTTTTTCGATGCATGGCGCGGAACTAGAATAGAAAAAAAGCAGGGTAGGGCAGGTGTGAAAAATATAAAGATATGGCATATTTCGGACGTTCTACCTAATTTTAAGTGAAAATTTAAATTAATTTAATTTTACTCGAGCATGCAAATTTTGCTTATATTGTTTTGACAACCAAAAAAAGATAAATAAATATTCAATTGTATCGAATAAAATTTTTGTTTGAAACAAATAAAAAGTTATTTATAGCTTTTCACCCAGAAAAATGTTTCTTTGAATCAAATAAAATATAAAATATATATATTTTTATAAAATATATAAATATTTTTTATAATTTTTTATATTTACAAATACATTTCTTTGATATAGACTAGAAGAAAATTTTTCTTTATTTTAGATAACATTTATTTGATTTAAAAAAAATTTGTTTTAATTTTAAAGAAATACTTTTTCAATTTTAAACAGTTTTTATTTAGAATAAAAAAATTTTCTTTTAATCTAATAAATTTTCTTTAAATCTATGAAATTTTTTTTTTTTAAATATTACTATATAATTATATTTAATTTAAAAAGTTCTAATTTTTTAAAATAAATTATAAAATGAAAAAAATGACTAAAAAAATTAGTAAAATCATTTTACTTGAATTTTTAATTTAATTTATTTTTACATTATTAATTTGAATAAGCATTTTCTACTTTATCAACTATTAGTAAACTGCTTATCTTATCGTGAACCACTTTTAGTTTCAAACATTCTCCAAAAGATGTCACTGAAATGACCTTACCTTAGTTCCATACAACTTGCAAAATTGAATTTTAAAACATCATTTCATAAACATGACGAACATTTAAAAAAAAGTAATTTTTTCACGTAACTCAGTACAAAACGATTCATTTAAATATTACAAAAAAAAAATGTATTTCCATTCAAAAATTTCCGCATTAAATTTACAGATATTATCATTTGTTTATTAATTCAGTTTTGACAATTAGTATATTATTAGTACTTTTTTATTTTTTACAATTAAATTTTTTTTTTTTAAATATCAAATGTTAAAAATTTATATTTTATATTTAAAAAATTAATTGTTGTTTTACAAATTCTAAAATAAATCGTTAATTTACAATTTTTTTTGTCTCAAAAGAATAAAAATATATTTTTAGCTCTGAAGGTAGTGATTTTTTATGGTAAAAATTGTAAAGCTATTTTTTTGTTTATATATTGAAAAAATAATTAATAATTATTATGTTTTTTAATTTTTAATTTTAAATTGTTAATCACAACGCAATGTTTTCGCGATTTAACTTAAACACACACACATATATATACATATATATACTGGTTTTATGCAAAAAAATGTTAAGAATCGCGCGGAAACGAGTTGTTGTTGCGCCCGCCTTTCATGTGAAGTTTTCTCTGAGTTGAAAATATACACGTGAATGAGAACCCACACAACAAAGAAGTAATACTGCGCGCGCGCACTGCTGCAAGTCGACAGAAAACAGAACGCGTTTGTCAGTGGAGGTTGGTAGACTGACGTTAAAGGCAAATAATTTTTCGTGTATATTTTAAGACGACAGTGGTGTTTAAATCACAAAACATTGTGCATCAATGACTTTTTTTTGTCAATCAATTCATATAATTCGTGTAAATTAAAAAAAGTTCGACAAACAAAAAAAAAAGTAGACACACTTTATTTTTCTTTTTATTTTTTTTTGTTTTCTTGTTTCATATTCGCGTGTGCCCACCAGTTGCATGTTGCATAACCTGAGATTTATTTTAGAAGAAAAAAAAAAAATTGTCACTAAAATTTGATTCATATTTATTGTTTTGTGAATCAAAGTGAAAAAATTATTATTAATTTATAAATAAAAACTTGGTGCTCTCTTGGGTTTTCTTGCTTGGCTGTCCTTCACCGGTAAGTTCTCTTTTTGTTTCTCTCTTTCTAATCTTTAAACGTCGCCTGTCAGATGGAACTGACTTCTCCGACCGACTTCACGTTATTTAGTTATGTACTTTTAACTCTGTACTCTCACATTGTATGCGGCAATGTTTCCTGAATGTGTTTTTTTTTCTCGTGTTTATAAGAAATGATTTTCTATCAGGGGAGTTGAATGAAGAGTTAGACATTTTGAATACTGAGAGTAATTATTATTAAAAGAGACTGGGATTTAATAGATGGTAGAGTCTAGACTGTCAATCAGCATGGGGTTTTTTTTTAAAGGGAAACATGGAGTCTGCTCTGAGAATTGTATTTTAATATAGTATATATTCACATGTGATTAAAAATAAGAGAATGACAGTGTAAAATTTTTGAAAGAATTAAAGAAGTAAATTATAATAGATATTACATGTATATTAATAATTGTGTGTTTGGTGTCATTTGCTTTAAGATAAATTTCAAATAATGATAGAAAAACATAGTAATAATAATGAGAAATAAAATATATTTTACAAATAATATGGAAATTCGTAGCAATATTAGAATTATAGATAATTTTCTTACTCTTTAAAAATAGTACAGGAAATTTAATATTTAGTCGTTCTCAAGATAGGTAATTAAATTTTTGAAATTTTGCATTAATTATGTAATTATTTATTTAATTACAAGCTTTATTATATACATAGAAGTGGATTTCAAATTTATTTTTTTTTTTTAATAATTTAATAATAAATTTTTTATTATTTTTTTTACTTACAAAAAATTATACTTCAATTTTATAATAAATATTAATTATTATTATTAACATTTATTATTATAATAAATATATAATAATTTTATAATATATTCCAAATTATAAAATAGTTTTTATACTAAGTAAAAAACTAACCTAACTTTTTCTGCAAATAAAAACTTGAAATATCACTAAATTGGGAACCTATTAGTAAAAAATTTTAAATAATTTGAATTAGTCACTGACTTTTTGCTATATTAATTAGTTAAATACTATAATTAATTAGTGAAAATAATTTTATTTCTTAATTCATAAATAAATATTTATAATAATAAATAATTTTTTTTTTATTTATTTCTTTATAATTATTATTTTTATTATTATATTTGTTTTATTTATTGTTTATATTTATTTTTTTTTATTACTTTTATTTATATATTATTTTTACTTATTATTTTTATTTCTTAAAATTTATTTAAATGAATAAAAAAATGTTAACAAATTCATATAGCAAAATGTCAGTCATTGATTCAAAGTAAATTATGAGTTTAATTTATTTTTAGGTTATGTCAAAATTTCAATTAGTTAAATTTTATGTACTAATTTATTTAAAAAAAAAATTTTTTTTTAGCAATTGGTAAAATTCACGAAACTGAAGTACGCAACGTTTATAATAAACGATTTTTAAAGAAATAATTTTTTAAAATAAAAAATTCTATAATTTTTTGGTTAAAAAATATATTTTTTGTTATTTTCATTAGTCAACAAATTATAAAAAAACATTTTTTAGGCAAAAAATTATAGAATTTTTCATTTTAAAAAATTATTTCTTTAAAAATTGTTTATCATAAACGTTGCGTACTTCAGTTTCGTAAATTTTACCGAGGAATTCCTAAAAAAGAATTTTTTTAAATTAATTAGTACATAAAATTTAACTAATTTAAATTTTGACATAACCTAAAAATAAATTAAACTCATAATTTGTTTTGAATCAATGACTGACATATATTTATTTTAAAAAATGTATTATTTTATTTTATAATTTTATGTAAATATTTATAAATTTTTTGTAATCTTAATTTTTATTATTGTTATTATTTAGTTTTTTTATTTATTTCTTTATTTTAATTTTTTTCATAATTTATTATTTTATCCTTGTTTTTTTTTATTTCTTTATGTAGTTTATTTAATTTTTTTTCTTAACATTAAGACATTTATTATTAATCTTTTTTTTTTTAAGAATCATGTCAAAATCTTATTTACAATAAATATAAAATAATCAGTGGAACATCCAAATTGTGTTAGTTTTCAGGGATTGGTAGCTTTTTTTCGATACATGGTGGGGAACTAGAAAAGGGAAAAGCAGGGTGAGGCAGGTGTGAAAAATATAAAGACATGTCATATTTCGGACGTTCTATTAGAATTCCAGTGGAAATTCACTTACGACCATTCTAAATTAACCCTTAACTTTAAATCAAACATAATTATAATATTCATTCAAACAAATAATATATTTTTAAATTAAAGTGATGGACATTTTTCATATATATATTAAAAATAAAATTTACAAATTGTATTATATAAATTAAACAAAATCATTTAAAAAGAACTCTATATATTTAAATTAAGAATTTTATTTTTCTAAGCGTGTAAAAATTCTAATCAACCAAAGTTAAAACTATTACATAAATTTCCATAAATAGATATCGTGTATATATACAATACCAAATTACATTCACCATAAAAAGTGTAAATTATACACTATAATTATTACTTAAGATCTAACCGAAACTTTTATTGCGTAACGCTTTTCACTGTGCAAACCTGCATTTTTCTTTTATCATTTTCGTTTCAATTAGATGCACGAAAAGAAAGTACCTACTATTTTTTTTTTCCAAAGAATTATTAAATTCTTGTATTTATATTATTTATAAAAAAAAGACAACAATGGTCTACATTGTAATTGACAAGTATTAATTTCATTTTATATATTGTAACAATTTTTTTTTATATATAGCATATTCATTACAACTCAGAATTATAAGTGAATATAAATAGTAAAATTATATTATATATGAGAATATTATTAAAATATATAATAGCATACATTGAGAATTGCCTTGAATAATAACTACAATTATTGACTTTCAATAGACAGCCTATTGGCATAAAGTGTTATTTATAAAATCATTATAATTACAAAAAAAAGGAAAATTTAATTTCTGCTTTACATCAGGTTACATAAAACATATATATATATATATACCTAATAAATATTCACACATAATTGAATCGAGTGAGCAGCATCACATCGTGACTTCGATGCCACTTTAATATGCACATCGTATATATATATATATATATATATATATATATATATATATATATAGTGACGTGAAATTGTTCATTGAGCATGCACTTACACACATACACATCTCTTTCTTTTTCCCACCCACATTCCATCATTCTCCCAACTTCCGAGAAGTAAACGGAAAATTTAATTTCGTGCTACTCGATTACAAATATCCTTTTCATTATCCCCGTGACAAGCACATTGCTTTGGCAGCTTTATGTGCCAGATACTTTGTTGTCCTACTATTATTGACGTGTTTATGATTATTGTAGGAAATATATTTTCTTTGGAGAAAAGTAGGCAAATATCTCTTTCTTAAAAGGATTATTATATATATATGTATATATATATAAAATATTTGGGATTTATAATTTCACATTTTTGTTTGCGGGTAATGTGTCAAAAAAAGAACAAAATTTCACGTTTTTATTTTATTTTTATTCTGACTACTATCTAGAAAATACTGCTACCTAATAATTATTATTAGTATCTAGTAACTACACTCTAAATCTGAATCAGTGAAAATTTCACTGAATTCAAATCAGTGGCTCAGTTTTCTTTAATTCACCAGTGGAATTTCACTGTGAATCAGTAAAAACCACTGATTTTCAGTGAAATTCCACTGGTGAATTAAAGAAAACTGAGCCATTGATTTGAATTCAGTGAAATTTTCACTGATTCAGATTTAGAGTGTACTATTACCTTGTAACTACTAGTACCTTATAACTACTAGTACCTTATAACTACTTGTACCTTATAACTACTAGTACCTTATAACTACTAGTACCTTATTACTACTAGTACCTAGAAACTGTTAGAACCCAAAAAATATTGAGGTGCATTATTTTTCCCAAATTCTAAAAAGTCGACACTCTGAATGATCCAAATTTATTAAGTCAACATTTTAAATGATCGATATACTAAATGATCGACATTTAAAATGCTCGAAATTCTAAATGTTCGAAATTTTAACCGGTAGAAATTTCAAATGGTCGAACTTTTATTTTATAGAAACTTCAACTTTCTATGGAAACAACAGAGAAAGAAATAAAAAAAATGAAAAAAATGAGAAAAAAAATGTCTACTATTTAAAGTTTCGATCATATAAAAGTTTGACTATTTAGAATTTCGACCATTTGGCGTATCGATTATTTAAAATTTCGACCAAATAAAATTTCAACCCTTAGAAGTTTCTACAATTTGAATTTTTGAGCTTTTTAGAATTTGGGAAAAAAATCATGCACTTGTTACGTCTCAGAAGGAGATGCACAAAACTTATAACATAATATTTTATTTACGAAGTGGAAGGCTTCGAACTAAGGAAACAGGTAGGAAACAGAATGATTTTGTTAGATGAACTATAAAGGTATATTTATTTTTCACTTTTACAAATATCTCTCGTATAAACTGGCAAGTTGATTTTTGTCCAAATATCTGATCCCCCTGAAAGCAGAATCAAAAACTTAAAACTCAGAATTAAGATTTCTAGAGTAAAATATAAATCGGAATGACTTACTTTAATTTAAAATGTAATTCTTGTTCCTCCTGAAGTCAATTGGTTGAGGAACGCCCCAAGATTGTCGACTTGCTGGTGCAATCCTGGCAAACCTCAAAATTGTCAGGAAACTTGCAATTGTGTATTATGATGAACCCAAGTTGGCGGAAAAATGGCTCAAGTTAACTAACCCCAATATTGTCGGTAGAATGGCTCGAGATTATTGAAGAACCAACATTGGCGAAGGAATGGCTCGAGGTTGTCGAAGGTTCCAAGAAAAATTGCCTCAAAGCTAGCGAAGATCCCAATAGAGTAAACTGTCTCAAACCTATGGTTAAAAACAAAAAGGGCAAAACTATATTTTAACTTGCATCCGTAAACTAAATTTTCATCTA